GTGAGAATGCCGGATATGAAATTCAAATAGACCATAGTGAAGTCACCAAAGAAACAGCTACTAGGGGACAGTTGATGTTACTGCCTTATGAGAGCCTTTGTAGATGGAGCCAGAGCAACTCAGTGAAGGTGAACCCCAGGCACGGATGAGGAAGTGAGCAGCATGTGACAGAAAGAATGAAGTTATCTCAGAGGAATTGACTCTGGCAAAAAAAAAAAAAAAAAAAAAAAAAAAAAAGCCCAAAATATGTCACATTAAGGGAATTCCGAGAGCTATTTCATGAAGCTGAATGAGTAAAGGATAAAATGCTGGAAGCTGAACCAAACTTAGGAAGTAGTCTGTCTGTTCACTGAGACACAGAAATGATGCTCTGTATCCAAGGTTATAAAAGAATGCAAGCATTGTTCAAACTATGCTTAAAAAAATACTTTAATTCTCACATTGATTTTCCATGTACTAAATATTAGTTTTACTATTTTTCTATTTTCCAACGTCGGTATTACTGATAGAAAGAGAGTTTTTATGTTTTGACAAAAGATTTTAAAGGCCATTGTACAACAGCAATTTTTCTATTCATTATGATGACTGCAGAGTTTTAGTTTATGTGGACATGTTTGTGGTCTCACAGTTCTGTGCAAAGCAAAGACTCTGTGTACAACAAAAAGTCAAGGGAGGGTAAAGAAGTAACAGATAGGCCTATGACAAAGAACTTCACAATGTTATCCAGTTGTTTTTATATACTTGGACCTAATCTCTCTGGAACTAGAGGACAAGGTGGGCAAATCAACCATCCAAACAATGGAAAGAATATGAGAGAGTAAAGAACCATGAAAATCCACTGGGACTTCACTATTAGTGGAGTGACAAACTGTGTGTTGATTTTTGGAACAAAAGCAGTGTCAGAAAGCAATACTATTGGTTAAGTTTCAGTGTTTGATTCAAGTAATCTTTGACCTCTTTGCTAAGCAGTGATTCTTCTTAAAAGCTTGTGAGTCAAAGGCAAAGGCAAAGGTGTATCATTTCCTGTAAGAGACCTTTGTCTTCAAAACACGGTTCAGGGCTCACCAAACCTGGTGTGGCCCCGGGAGCTGAGAAGTCCTCCTAGGCTTCTTCCTTAGCAGGGCTGATACATCCTGAGATGTAGTATAAGACACAGCCCTGGAGTGAAGAAACTCTTTCTCCCCAAATGAGGATAGAACCTGCTGTCTTTACTGAAATTTTAGCCTAGCAAAGGTCTACATTTCATCTTGGACCACAAAGACTCACATGCAAAGCTAGAAACACTACTGAGAGAAATGTCCTATAACCAAGTATAAACCATAAAAGCTGGTCAGGAAAAGTTCAGAAGTAGAAAGTAAAAGTCATGGATCTGAGTTACTGTTAATATCAAAGGGCTGTCACATATTGGATCATAAGAAACACGTACCACGCAGGTGGAAAACAGACGTGTTCTTCTCTTTGGTGAAATGCCCAGGCCAAAACCAGGAGGCCTCTTACAAAGGACACCAAAAGAAAAGTTAGATTCAGATTAGGCACAGGACAGGCAGACATACAGTCTCCTTGACCATGATGACTGACACTTGGGGGCTGCAAAGCCAGGGGCAATGTGTGCTCACTTCCACACCTCAAGCATTTAACCTAGTGCCAGCAGTCTGCCAGAATCCCGTCAATGCATATTCATAAAATAAATCAACAAATCAGGTCAACATTCTGCTCTACCACTGACAGTTGCACCCACTCAGGGTGTGTACCTAGATGCAGGTTCATCCTTCATGCAAAGAAATTCAAGACAGGGAGACAATGGTGTGCAGTAGTAAACAGTGCCTCCACTCCCAGGACTACCAGGAAACATCTGAAGAGTGTGGCAAATGGGAATAACAGTAGTATCTATACTCACAGTGTCCCCAGGAGAAATAAATGTGATGTTAGGTATAAAATATTTGGCACAGTGAGTCTCCTTCAGAGCAAGAGATTCATGAATATTAAGCCACCATCATTGTCAACACCTTAAAATATAAGGCCAGGCTGGGAGACTCAAGTAGAGAGGCTCCTCTTTCACACACATACACCACATTTACCTGTCTAGGATGAGCCAAAACAAAAACATTCCACTAAAATACTTCCTTAGATTAATTTCCTTAAAATATGACTTGGTGAAAAAATACGAAAAAGAACATCCAACATCACTAAAAAGAATAAAAATTAAATCAAGATAATTTTCACCCAAAGGTTTTAGAATTATAATGCCAGGCCTGTGAGGTAAAAGACAGACATTCTCACCTGCAGTAGTTGGAATTGATACAAAGATTCTGGAACACGTTATGACTGTGTATATCTAGAAGCTTAAAATATTTCTGCTGTCTCTAGACTCACACTATCTTTAGCAGAGTTACTTTCACAATATCAAAAAGATTGGGATATCCTTAATATCCATCAAGATGAGAGTTAAGTAAATTATACTACATCCACAAAAACAGAACACAGGCAGTCATAACAAGATTTCTGAAGACACTGGGGAAAATCTGGACATGCAAGTCTCTAAGATGGATGATTCAACTTATGGTTTTTTTCTTTTTAAAGAAAGATAACTGATTAGACATGGTGATTTACACCTGTAATCCCAGCTATTCAAGAGGTAAAGATCAGAAAGATCGTGTTTTCAAACCAGTCCAAGCAAAAAGCTAGTGAGACTCCATCTCAACAAACAAGCTGGGTGTGGTGACATGCTTATGAAAATCTCAACTACAAAGGAGACTGTAGGAAGGAGGATCACAGTCTGAGGCTGACCCTTGTTAATGATGAAAGCAATAAAAAGGGCTGGGGGTGGGGCTCAAGTGTTAGAGAGCCTGCCTACCAAGTACAAGGTCCCAAGTTCAAATTTTACTTCCACAAAAAAAAAGGTAACAAAAATAAGTGAGAGGGAGAAAGGGAAGTAGGAAATTGACTAGATTATACCAATAATTTATTTCTAAGTTTGAGAATGCAGATAACTTTTTTCTCCATAACTTCCTACCTTGTACAAGCTGTTCTAAAGTGATACATGTAGCCAGCTCTCTGTATTTGTGAGTTCCACATCTATGGATTCAACCCACTTATAATAAAAAATATTAAAAAATTATACCTGCACTGAGCACATATCAATGTTTTCTTGTCATGATTCTCTAAACAATATGGTTTAACAACTTTTTACATAGCATTTACATTGTATGAGGTACTATGAGCCACCTAGAGATGACTTAAAGCATACAAGAGGATGTGGATAGGTTACATGCAAAACCGTGCCATTTTATATAAGGGACTCCAGCATCCATGGATTTTGGAATACAAGAGGGGAGTGGTCCAGAAACCAATTACCCATGGATACTGAAAAACAACTGTATTACTTTTTTAACTCAGGAAAATAATGGTGAAGGTTTCTAAAAAAATATGATTAATGTGAACCTATTTACTACTGGTGCAGATCACTAATTTCATATCATTAGCAAACTTCTATCAATCCAAACTTAACATAATTTCATGACCTTAAAAAAAAAAAAAAGGCAGTTGCCTGCCCAAACCTTGTGACTTGGCCCTTACCTGAGTCCCCCAGTATGGCTGAAATCCTTTCCTAACAATATTGATAATGACCAGGTCCTGATGGCTCACCACTCCTTTTCTTGGAATAAAAGACTTATGGAAATTCTAAGATAACTTCCAAGAGAAGTCTAGACCCTGTCATGAAGGTAAAGACTGTGAAATGTATTAGCACTTGCCACTGCCAGCCCTCTTTTCCCCCTTTTCTTTTAGGCACAAGCTGAAAACATCTCTAAAATAGCTAAGCATTTGCCTAGTGTGTTATACACTAGGAAAAGCTCCCAAAATATATAATCAGTCATCTCTCTTCCATTTTTTATGTATCATGGAGGATACATACTGCTTCACCTTCTGAGGATTCATGTAAGGTACCATAGGACATCCACTACAATATATCCTAGCTTTCATTTTTCTAAAGGTTGCAGAATAAATTAAACCAGCAATGTTTACTCCCTGCTTGTATAGGTGTTTCCCAGTCTTCAAAGACTACTTTAGGCTGCTCTAGGAAGAACGGGAGCAAACCATACACTTTAAAAGTTTGAAACTTTGAATTGTCACCTCGGAACTTACAATAATTTATGTCTTTTGACCAACAACTTCCCAATCCACTTTCAATGGTTAAAATATATATATACCATAGCCGAGTATACTATGTAAACCAAATTTCCTCAGATAACTTCTAGACTCTTGAAATCTTAGAGAAACTTAAACAGTTTATGTATACCTTTACTTTACCAAACTGGTATGGAAACATTGTTGAGTATAAACATTAACCAGAATACATATAACCTATTTACCTCATTATGACAGTTCTAGACTGCTGATGCCAAATCTGGTACAGCATTGATATTTGCCCTCAGAGGTATAGTTATCTGGCTGTCATGGCAAAGGAAGATCAACGAGCACAGCTGTCCCTGGCTGTCTCCTGAGGGGCTGCAGAACTGCACACTGAGGGTGACAAAGCACGGCACAAACAGTGTTTTCCATGGGGGCAAGAGTCTATAGACAAGTTCTCACTGGGAAAATGAGGCAGGGGAGTCCTAATGTTCCAGAGTATCTGACTCTGTCTTCTCACTAAAGTAGCCTATGACCATGTGTTTATCAAATAAAATGATCTACGCAAACATGGAAATGCACCATGAGTTTAAGGTATTGCTGTTTATGGTATTCCTACTATTCATTCTGAAGAGATTAAAAAAGACAACAAGATATAAGATACACCATCTTAGGAATTGAAAGTGGAGAACCATAGCAAAACATGGGGGACAATATATACTTTAAGGAGATGATTAGTATTCAAACTGCAATTCTTATTTCAGTAACACTCTTCCTAATACAACTTAGTTACACAGAACATTTCACTAGTACTGCCATCTAGAAATAACATTTTCATTGCTAAAACACAAATGAAAAACAGAAATACTTACTTAAAATACCAAACTGTCCCCAGAACAGAAGTATAGCCAAAATTGGGAAAATAACAATCAGAATATTTTCATTTGGAGAAAACCATGAAACTGAGGAAAAAGAAAACAAAAATCACAATTAGTATTTAGTACAATCATTTTAAATACTGCTAAAAATGTCAAATGTATCTTTTATTATATAGATGGAAGATTAAAATGATTAACTACAGGTGTGGCCTTAGTTTACAAACACACACATAAATAAATTATACCTATAATTTAGTTATATAGCAAATTTTATTTAGGAAACCAAAAGCTCCAGTTACTTCAGTGTTTCTCCCCACATTTCTCCTGTTTTATGGAAGGGGCAGCACAACATAGCAGCTGAGGACAGGGCTTTGTGGCCACACTGCCCAGGTCTGAAACCTAACTGTGGCTCACAATCCATGTTAACCACAGATGATGTCTGAACACCTCTGATCTTTCGAGTCCTCAACTGTCATACAGGAATAACACAGGACCTACCCACTGAGGGACTGTTGTGATTATTAGCAGAGTTAACATATGCCAAGGCCTTAAAACAAAGGATGGCATAAGTGTTCAGCAACGGTTAATTATAATATTATGTGTTGTATGCTGAGTACTCATGTGTGTAAAGTGTCCAAATTACCTTCAAGTGTTCCTATAAAGACTGACTCGGGGGACCAGGTAAGGGAGCTCTCAGTATACTAGGTCCCCTTCCCTTTGTGTGACTAGGACCAAGATACCAAGATTCAAGGGCCCCGCTTTTTCTCACACTGACTCTGGAACAGAAGACCTATTCATTAATAATTAGACTTTGACAGGATACTTCCTTGTAAACATGAAAGACTAGGTTATTAAGAAAGCTGTTATTAAGTGGGTCACATGTTACTCATAGGGCGAAAATAAACCCACACATCTATATGAAGGAAATTGAGATATTAAGACTCAGAGTAAGATTTACTGAGAACTTTTAAAAAATTAAACTTAATTGCCTCTTGTAAAGCCTTAAGACTATAATTTTAGCTATGAGATTTCTTCTCTAACAATAAAGCCAAGTATATGTACTGAAAGCTTTTCAAAGGTTGCCTGTACAGGGGGAATGTCCTAGCTGAAGAACCCTTTTGGATATTGGCACTTCTCTGAAATCAGCATTCTGCATTGAACTCTTCTGCTGCTCTAACCCTTGGTATCAGTCTGTGAGTAGCTTCATGGGTTTTCACTTCACAATGATAGCTGTGCATCTCTTGTATTAAGTGTATAATGTTAAATCCTGATAAAATGATTACATTAATCTCCAGAATATAATAAATTCTATCTTGGTGATGTTAGCTTTGCAGAAGTCAATGTTTTGCCTTGTCCACAGTAGAGACTCAGTATGTATGCTGTTGAAAATTATAATAATCATAAAACGGGTTAGTGAATGAATGGAATATAACTTTTTTATGCTCCTTGGTTGCAATTCTATACCAAGAGAGAGATGTTCTTGGGTACTCTGAATCAATACCATAATTTCCAGCTGTATGACTGATAATGCACTTCAACACAAAATAAAATCCTATCAGGAAAAAATATTGTACATGATGCCTCAGTTTTTATATCCAATGCCCAAAAGATTTGCAAAAGCTTTGTGACCTAATAACTGTGCCTAATTCACTTTTTTCTATCCACTTCCTCTAGTATTTTGCTTTAAGTTGTATGTACTAACTATATTCAAATCCTCATGAGAAATTAAGAGTCCCTCATAGCTGTGGAAACTGAGGCACGTGAATTAACAACTGCAGCATCTTACCTTTTCATGTCCCAGACTCACTCCTGTTATCCCCCTAACCCTATCTCACCTCCAAACCTCTCCTTTTAGATTTCCTCATTTCAGCAGTGGTGACTGCATTTCTTCAGTTGCTCAGGATGAAAAATCTCAGAGTTCACTGGATGCTTCAGAGGTAGCATCCTACTCTAGCTGAGCAGCAAATTCTGCTAGCTCTACCTTCAGATATAGCCAGCCTGTTCAGATATAGTCTGTCATGTTCAAGATGAGCTGACAATGAATTCACTAACCTCTCCCCCTATACAGTAAAACAATCTTAGTGTATATGAATAGAAACTTATTAATAAAACTAAGAGATGCTTTCAATGCTGGTCAGCAATTTTTCCTTTATCCCACTAGAGTTCACTGAAAGCCACCATGTATGGGTTCTCCTCTAGGCACTAGAGTGAACAGTGAGCAGTTCAGAGGTCCTGAGCTCCAGGACAGGCAGGGCTAGAAGAACAGAATCTTGGGGGCAGCAGAGAAAGGCCTTTGGGGGAGAGGAACTGGAACTGCACCTTGGGTGGGACAGAGCCTGCTATGTGAAGACAGGGAAGAGGAGATGTCAAAGGAACAGCAAGTTCAAGGAGCCAGATGATGGTCACTATGGCTAGAAATTAGTGATATGAGATCAGACGGGCGGGTTTGCTGGGAGAAGATCATGATGGGTCTTAACAGCTTAAAAGAGTTTGGATTTTATTCAAAGACCATTTACAAGTGAATGGAAGGCTTCAAAGAAGGAACGAAAATGACCTGACATTTTAAAAGATTTTCAAAGATTTTAAAGATTTAAAATCTTTTGTAGCCATGTGGAGAATGGGTTAAAAAGAAGCAAGATTTCTCAAAAAGTAATGGCAGCAATCACCTTGAGAGGTAGGAGAATGTGACCAACAAATGCCATCCTGAATTCAGTCTTGCTTGTCACATTTAAAGTTGTAACAGAGAATTTCCCCAAAGGAAGATAACTAGAATGGGGATCCTGAAATCCTCAGCAATGACTGATAGAACTAGGGACTTTTATCCTAGATAAGAATAAATTTGGAAGAAATACAACAGCCCTCCAGTGAGTGAGAAATGACAGGGTAGCAAGTTCTAGTTGGGCACAAGGAAGAACTGGAAATAACTGATAACAGACTAAGACCTCTGGGAAGTAACAGTGTCTCCTTGTGTCAACCCTTTTGGTAACAAGTTGGAATGGCCAACTGCCTGGGGTGTAAAAGAAATAATTTGTGAATTAGGTGGTAAGACAGACTAGATGTCTACTTGATGACACTGACAGTCTATGCACAAATAATGAGAATGTAAGAGGACATTTTAATGACAGAGAGTGAGATTATGTGACAAAACCATTATGAAGTGATTCTTAGCCAGAGCTTATCAGAATCACCTGAGGGTTTATTCAAGCTTCATACACTCTCCCTTCTCACTACCACATCAAGATTTTCACATTCCCTCACGGTAATGATGGATAGGGGATGGTCAGGATTCTTTGTTTAAAATCACTGCTATGAATACATCACCTCTCTAATTTGTTATGGTGAGAGAAATTTGAGAATCACTGAATTGGATATTTAAGAATCAATTGAGCTGGGTGTGCTGGTTCCTACCTATAATCCCAAACTCAGGAGGATTTTGAGTTTGAGGACAGCTTTTGGGCTACTCAGTGAGAACTGTCTCAAAACCAAGCAAACCAAAACCAAAACAACAGCAAAAAAGAACCACTTGAGATGCTGGGTGCGGGGAAGGGAGGTGGGAAAAAATCCCAATGCTTTATATGAAACCACTTATACGTCCACTAATCTATTAATTTGTTATAGAAGTACTGTCAGATGACATTAACTCTTACTCTCTAAAGGAAGTGAGCATGAGACAAGACACTTAGCGAAGGTCCCTTTCAGGTCTGAATTTCTATCGTACTAAGAAACTTAAGCATAAAATGGACTAAGAACAGAATCTAATTGTGGGATTAGGAAAGGTAACTTAAAGGCATTCACACTCTTATTCCACCCAAGCTATGACTGACAACTCTGTCCCCCTACTACCCAAGCTTTCATTTCTCTGATGTTAGGACCCAGGACCTCACTTCTGTATCTCTGTACAAAAATGGTACAACTTGAAAAGAAAGGACCACTGCAGTTAACTGTGTCTCTCTTTCAAACATATACATGCAAACCTCCACAAACACAGCAAACACTACTTTCCATGAAAGGGCACATAATTTATAACATTAAAATTCAAACCAAATTCTTACTTGATGTTTCAGAACTGTGATGGCCTTTCTGATGTGTTAACATGGTTAGGCCAATCATCTATGATTTGGTCAAAGCCAGAATTCTAAAGTGGTCCCCCATAAGTGTCTTGTGTAATTCTCTCTTCTGTGTATGAGTGGCACTATGAACATGTGAGAATTCTTTCCTATGGTTATGTTAAGTCACCTAGAAAAGGGAGTTTGCTAATGCAGTTAAGGCTTCCATCAGCTAATTTAGAAAGGGAGGTTATCCTTGAGGGAGAGAAGGTTGGCTTGGACTTAATCAAATGATTCCTTAAATGGACTTGGGTTCTTCCTGGAAAAATATATTCAACACATGGGAGGAATTCAACAAGATCAAGACTGTCCTGTCCTCACTTTAAATATCAAGGGCTGTGTGGCAAGGAATGGAATCAGTCTCTCGGAGCTGAGAGAAGTCCCAGGCAGACATCCAGCAAAGAAGCAGGGACCTCAGTCCTGTGGTGACAAGGAATTGAACTTTGCTGCTATTATGTGAGCTTAGAATAGGACCCTAAATTCCAGACAAGTATATATTCTGGTCAATATTCCGACTTTAGCCTTGTAGAACTCGGCATGGAGGATCAGTGCACACCATGATCAGAACTGTGACCCACAAAACTGTGACCTAATCAAAGTGTATTCTTTTAAGTTGCTGTGTTTGTAGGTACTTGTTGTACAGCACTAAAAAACCAACACAAGGACCTTGCAATGCATTCATGTCATCACAATAAATAGAGTGTGCATCTTGACAAAGATGGAATTGGCAACTCTGCTGAACTTGAACCAACCTTTCAATAAAATCCTAAGGCCCTACATACTTAGAATAAAAGAAAGGTAAGGTTTCCAAGATTTTGTATCAAAAGTAATAAAAATATTAATAATTAATTTTATAAATACCATTATTTACAGTTAGTATTTGCTCATTTATAATGCGTTTTCACAGGAAATATATACCATGATGGCTTTGAAGCCAGAGAGGTCTAGGTGAGAAAATTCTGGCTAAGACTCTGGCCTTTAACACATACTGTGAATCTCTTTTACGTTCCCTAATTAAATGGTAAGAGTGCACTTATATGCTAGAGTTCTTGAGAAGAACAAGACATGACATACATAAAGCATCTTGCATATCCTCAAATAAATGTTAGGTTATTTTACTCTTGTTAGTTGTACTATAATCACTTCCTGAATTCATGGATAACATCTTTGTCATCAAGGAATCCACAGTGCATAGCACAGCACCTGACACATAGTAGGCACTCAATAAACCTTTGTTAAGGAAGGTAGCTGTTATCTCATTTAAAATTCAAACATCTCTGTGATAGAGATGGCATAATTTTGCTGATAAAAAACTGAGGGTCAGAAAGGTTTAATTTCTTTTCCAAGTTTTCTTAAACTAGGAAATGATGAAGTACAGAAAAACAGCTTTCTAAGCTTGGCATGGTGGGGCACACCTGTAATTCCAGCACTTGAAGGCTGAGGCAGAAGGATAGTGCATTCCCCGCCAGCCTGGACTACACAGAGAGTTCAAAGCCAGCCTGGGCTACACAGCAAGACCCTGTCTCAAAAAAGAGAAAGGAAAGAAAGAGAAACGAAGGAAGGAAGGAAGAAGGGAGGAAGGGAGGATAAATGAACAACTTTCAAGTCCTATACTTTTTCTATAGTATTGTACTATATGCTGACATCAGAGGCATATAAAATTATGTCTGATATACAGTGTTTCTACTTAATCACTCTTAATGCTCTACAAACAACAAATGGTCACCAGTACTTGCAATCCATTGAATGGTATTCAATTCTCTATGGAGAATTCAATTCTCTAAGGAATTCTCTATTCCTTATTTATGTCTATGTTTGCAAAAAAAAACCACAGCATAGTAAAAATGATCTCTAATGCCTAAATCGCCAAAGTCCACAGGATAGCTAAGTATCATTATTATAACAAATATGTATTCCTCTGAAAGAGTCCTGCCTCATTTAATCTTTTTATGCTGAGGGTTATTTTTTTCCAATCAAAAGTGGTTATAAATAGTGATGGTAAAGATGTGGGGAAACTAGATCACTCTTATACTGCTAATAAAAATGTAAAACCAAACAGTCATTCTGAAAAACTGTTTTCAGTCTTTTAAAAACTAAGCATGCACTTACTGTATCACCCAGTCATCATACTCATAGGCACCGATCCCAGGGAAGTGAAATGCATATCTCAGTAAGAACCTGTACACAACTGCTCATAGCAACTGCATTTGTTGTCACCCCCAACTGGAAATGATCAAAATGTCCTGCAACAGGTGAATGGTTAAATAAGCTATGACACACTTATACCATGGAATATTGTTCAGTAGAAAAAAATAAATAAAAACAAAAACTATTGACACATGCAACTCAGATCTCAAGAGCATCGTGCTGAGTGAAAAAGCCAAAGGTCATCTTGAAAGGTCATCTATTGTATGATTTGACTGACATAACATCGTGAAAATAACAAAATTACAGATCTGTAGGACAAATTACTGCTTGCCAGGTTAGGGATAGCTAAAAGTATGTATGTGTGTGTGTATGTATGTATGTATGTGTGTGTGTGTGTATGTGTGTGTGTGTGTGTGTGTGTGTGTGTGGGTGTGTGTGCATGTGGGTGTGTGTGTGTGCCTGACTATGAAGTGTTAACATGAGGAGATGTTTGTTCTGATGGAATAGCTCTATATTCCAACTGCAGTGGTAGTTACACAAGATGAAATGTCAGAGAATCATTCATATATATTGTACCACTGTGAACTTCCTAGGCTTGATACTGTACTATAGTTACAGGAGATACACCACTGGGGGAAACTGAAAGGTACACAGCACCTCTCCATCTTTGAATCTTCCTGTGAATCAATAATTATTTCAAAAAGTAAAAATGTGAGGGTCTGGTGGAGTGGCTCAAGTGGTAGAGTGCCTGCCTAGCAAGCATGAGGCCAAGTTCAAACCCCAGGACTGTTAAAAAAAAAAGTAAAAATGGATATAATGCCAAATGTCTCAAACCTATGGTAGAATTTTCTACATTCTCTATGATGAAATAATGTTTTCTCATTTAATCACCCTAAAAGTAATCCTATCTCTTATTTTTGTAGGGTATTTAGAAAACAAAGAAAGATAAAATAATCATACACAAGATTATAAACCCTGTCTTTATCTCGGATACTACCATTCCCCTCCCATTCACCTCATTCTCTCTTCTGGTCTTTAAGTTCAGATCCTACATTTATAATTTCCCTCTCAGTAACCTCCAAGTTACTGTGTCCCACGTCTTGTTCTTCATTCACATGAAACTGTACATTCTCTCAGAAAACTTCTAACTAGGTATTAGATTATCTCCTTCTGGTCATCACAGTGCATATGCCTGAATGATTAGACCTCTCCCTGGAAAGGTACACATTTAAAGAAAGAGTTCCTTAGTCCAAATGAGTATCAATGGTAAAGTTACAACATAAGTGAAGTTTCTGAGCAGAAAAGCCTTCCAAATTCTCCTTGCCTATGGAGACATCCCCTGCCCATTCCTCCCTGTACACAAATCCCTCTCACAACACTCCAGGCCAGTTTCAGCAATTTGACACCTTATAAAATAAACATTGCAGGAAAACGAGTAACATTTGCAACACACATCAGTTTTCAGAGAACTTCTAAATGTGGGATCTCATTTGATGCTCATCAGATTCTATAGACACATAAAAGCAAAAATGTCTATTTTCATTCCCATTTTAGTGATGAAGCAACTTGGACTCAGTAGAGTAACTTCTCATGATCACATAGGTGAATAGTAAGTTGCTGAATAGGGTATGTAACTGAGATCTCCTGACTCCCAATCCTAAACTATGACAAAATATTTCATCAAACTAAACACCCTAGTCTCAATCTGGTAATAGACATTTATTCAACAAAAGCTAGAAGAATAGAAGGAAACTACTTGATTCTATTGAAATGTTCTGATCCCATCCAGAGCAAAGGTTCTCATAGAATGGTCAGTCCCCCAAATCAGCAATATGCCTGGTGATTCTAAATAGTTTTAAAAACAGTCAGAATGTCCTTCTATGTGGTTAAAGCTAGTACAGAAAGAAAAAAAGAAAGACTTTTACTTCAGCTAATGTCACTGCTTTACCCAATCTACCAACACGAGTGTGTGACGAGAGCAGAATCAGGGCACTATATTCACCTCAAATTTGATTAAGTTGTATTCCTAGTTCTCCCACATCTTGGCTAAGAAAAAGAACATGAAAGGAGAGCTTAGCACAGAAGTTTCCAGGAATCATCCATGATAACCTGGTCTTCAATCTCCTGATTTTCCTCTCCCTCCCCTGCAAAGGGAACTGAGTTTTGGTAACCTTTAGTCAAGTGGACAATTATAAAACAAATCAAAATAAAACAAAAACTAACAATTAGAAAGAAGTTCAACAAATAATCACATGAAAGAAAGTAATTTTGATGGTAACAAACAGAAATGCAGAGTAGAAGACCCCAGGACCCATCACCCAAATGGAAGAGTCCTCAGACCAAAAGTTTGAGAACCACACAACATACAAATGAACAAACATCAAATGACTTTTACTGCAAAAAGTAGAAGAGTAAATACGGTAGAACTTGTGATAAAGCTGCTAAACATTACATCAACATCTATTAGTAGTAGTCTACATTTTTGGCACAAAGGAATTCCTCGTCCCATTTTGCTCTTTCTAATAGGATTAGTTTGAGCAGGACAAATCAAAAGGATGCTGTCTTAGTCTGTTTTCTGTTGCAACAACAATACCGGAGAGTGGGTGATTTATGAAGAGCAGTTTTATTTTGGTTCATGGTTCTACAGCTGACACGTTCCAGAGCATGACATCAACATCTGTTCGGCTCCTAGGAAGAGCCTTGTGCTGCCCAATAACATGGTGGAAGGGAGGAACAGGAAGCTAGCACCTGGGAGAGAGAAAATGCACAAAGGATGGACTTGGCTTATAACAAGCCATTCTCTGGAGAACTAACTAATCTCCTTGAAGAAAGGCTTTAACCACTCTCAATGACCTAATCACCTCTAAAGGCACCGCTTCCCAGCGCTGCCACATGGCAATCAAGTTCCCACATGAGTTTCAAAGGAGACAAACCATATCCAAAGCATGTCACTTACCAACACGGTATTTTAGTTCTACGACTGTTTCGCCTTCTCTGATTAATTCTGTTACTTCACATGTGTAGTTTCCCACAACAGCATCATCCTTATCCATCTTCAAAGACGCATCTCCTTTCAGTAATTCGGAGACAGAGATTTTGGCACTGGAAAAGTTCTTGTCTGCAGTAGAGTTGTTTTTATTTCCATCATAGATGAAAATGTATGTTCTGTTAAATTTCCACTTTACATACATTTCCTTAGTGTTTTGTGCCCCTACGTTAATAACAAAGCATGGAATGACGACAGTTTCATTGCAAGCGGTGTATTCTACAGATTTGGTGTTATTAAGCAGGAGCTGAGCTGAACCTGGAAAAGAAAAAGAAAAACATTAGTTATAAAGATTTATATTATAAATATAGTGTTTATACTGATACTATAGAGATACATAGTATAGTGGTTTATATTATAAATCTTAGGTACGTGACAAATCCTTAAGATGAAGAATAATCATTCATTTAAGCAAGTAGTACAGTCACAGAGAAGGCCAACAAGGTGAAAAACAAAAACAAATGCTTTCAATATTAACTTGCACAGCTGGTAGACAACATTATAACTTTTCTTATTCATTCTCAGTCATGCAAAGTATACATTACCATGCATCTTCAGAATAAATTCAGCAATTGTGTTGGAACATGTATAGTATCTTAAAAGCTTTGAGGTAATCATTTCTGCCTACTGATATATATATAGGAAAATACTGTCCTTACTATGGGAAAAATTTGAATGGAAAACCAAACCCAATGTTATTTTCACTCTCAGCTTCTATAAACTTCTAAATAGAACTGGCTAAACTGATAGGGAATTTATCTCTACCTTCATGCTGCATTTCCAAAAAAAAAAATGGCTCTATACTTTAATATACAAAATAAGTCGGATGAATCAAATCATATCTTTCCACGAGGATAGAAAGTCTTAGGCTACAACAAGAAAAAAACCAACATTCTCTGTGGCTATGTTCCCACTGCAAAATACAGACAGCAACAGACATTTTGTATACAAGTCTTACAAAGGATTATATACATCTGAATGGTATTTTCCCCTCCCCCATTTTTCATTGAATCTACAAAATAATTTCCTAATGTAAGTTGCAGGTATTTCTTCCTCTCTGAAACCATTAAGCCACTCAAAAAGTGAAAAGATAAGGTGAAATCAAGAGAAGATTCTGCTAAGGCAGAGGGTATATTCCATCAGCTCTTCTCAGTGGCACATTCTGCCAACAGCTGCCTTACACAAGAGCGGCAGAACGGCAAGCACTGGCCATTCAATAAAACAAACAAGAATGGGGAGAAACTCTAGTTGTCTTCCATACTATTAAGCCATTTATCAACTCTTCCATCAAAGTAGTTGACTTTTTCCTCAAAAATCAAAGTACTAATAAATATAAAAACATTAACTTTAATAGTTCATCCTTAAGATTTCTTCCTTCTATATAAATTGGAATCAAATTAAGGGTATGTATGGACGCACAGTACAATATGACCCTAGAAAATACTCCAAACCCCCAGTACAAATTCTATGTCTGACATTTTCTGATATGCAACATTAACTGATTCATCTTTCTATGCTTTGGTTTACTCTATAAGTAAAAGGATCAAAAGCAAGCACTGGGTTACTTGATGGAATGTGGTGAGCATCAAAGGAGAAAACATATCAGTAATACTATGCTATAAACTTATGGGGTGATACAATAAAACTAGAGAATGTAGCACTTAATGTAATGATCTAGACCTTCTCTGACTGCTCCAAACTGTTATCTTTGGGGGAATTTTAACTCTGAATCAGCCTTATGGGCATCTACAGCTCACCTCTTTTCAGTTCTATACATTTCTAGTCATCCAAATATTAGGAAGCCCCAGGCAAAGCCTAGACTTTCAACTGCACTCTTCAAAACCTTGGTGTTGTGAATTATTTCCCCTGAGAGAGAAGCACTCAGAGGGAGAAACTACAGTGTGCAAGAAGAGATTAAAGGGGAGATGTTGTGGGAACTAAAAAGGAAAGCAAGTGTCAGAAAATATGGTGATAGATTTTAAAATAAACGGATATTATACTGAGTGTCCTTTCAGTAGGGTGATGAGCACTGCCTAGCAGATGCTTTGGAATTATTGGATTCTATCATAGGAGCCTGGGCTATTGACTTTAGGCTATTCACAATTTTGTAGAAATTGTGAATTGTAGAAAATTGATGGCGATGCAAATAATGTCTGTCCAGAGATACAAATAAATTTCGATTTGCAAATGATTTCCACCTGGTGGAAGTCAGGATTTCAAAATTTTTCATTTTACTGTCCTGAGGGTATTGAGCAATTTTGTATCTATTAGGAAATTCATTTCAGCATTATAGCTTGCCTACAAATGTGTCTGCTCCTCCAAATTTTCTTTATAAGGGTTTTGTCTTCTTGATTTGTTTTTAATTAAGGAGTGAAACAAAACTTTTGTTATGTCCATTTTTATTTGTATTAGTCATCATTTCAAAAAATTAAAAATTACATTTATGAGTAATTTTAAGAATTATTCTTTCATAAAGATATTGTGAAGAGCTCAGTTATCCTGTCAAACATTGAGAAGGTTCTAGGTTAGTAAGAATTGGTTGGCAAACACTTCAAAATTTCACCACTTCTGTTTAGAAAATAAGTGTTCCCACTCAGGAGGAAGTGATCAGGAGGACTGCAGTTCCAAGCTAACCTGGGCAACTAACTGGCAAGATCCTATCTTGAAAATATCCAACACAAAAGAACAGGGCTGGTGGAGTGGCTCAAGCAGTAGAGTGCCGATCTAGCAAGTGTGAGGCCCCGAGTTCAAGCCCTAGTACCACCAATAAAAAAAAAAAGTTCTAAAAACGTGGAAAGAATTAATTGCATTGCATTATTTTTGTGATAAAAACATTTCATAGATGAAGCAATTTAAGTAGAATAAATGCTGGCAGTAAAATTTAAAATAAAAATGACCTGAATAAACAGTGATTTAAATAACCTCTGTGCTAATAATAAGTAAAAGTATTCCAAAAATATCATTCTATGTGTTAACTACAACTTGTCCTCTGTAAACATGTTATGTTAAAAAAACCCTACTAAGTAGTAAATGATCGATTCTGGGGTTTTTCTCTTCTGCCTGTTGCTTCCTATGAAACAGCAAAGTGAATCAAAGATCAAGAATACAGGAAGTAAACAGAGGACCACAGAGAATTAACTTGAATAAGAAAATTCCAAACAAACGAGATATGCCTAGACCAGTCTAAATCAGACAGAAAATCTTAACCAAGAATGATGCTAGAGTTACAGATATATCAGAAAATAACACGGGGAGATTATTTCATATCAAATGCCAAAAGTATTGGACCCCATGACTTCCATGAACACAGAAAACCAATACTAAACATCCCAGACCTGTTTTGTAAACAGCTGTGTAGTTGCAGAGGGGTCTGATTCATGGTGTCACAGAACATAAATCTAGTTCAGAAATCTAAATGCAACCAACATTCGTTGAGAATTGCCTAATATTCCAGGAAAGGGGGGGGGGGAGGAGGAATAAAGGAGAATGTTGGAGGAGTTGAATTCAACTTATGATATATTGTAAGAACTTTTATTAATGTCACAATGTGCCCCCAGTACAACAATATATTAAAAAATTTAAAAAGGAAATTTAATAATGATGAAAAATGTAGGAATTATCTTTTATGTACTTGCAATTCTCATATGAAGTATGATAAGTAGTTTACATAATATCTGGGCCCTTACTCTTATACCTTGATAGAAGTTCCACGTAAATTTTGTTTCCTTTTTAACAACTCTTAAACCACTCTCCTTATGCCTCTTCTCCTGTACTTTCCAAGGAGCCCTTGCTTCCTACTTCTTAATTCAAACTGAGTCCTTCAGTGAAGTAGCCAGAAGTTTCTAACACTTCCTACCTTACTTGAAACCCCAACTGTCCACACCTTTCTTCCTCCCACGTCCTCCTTAACAGAATGAATCTTGTCATCTGAGAGCTAGTTTCCACTTCTGCCTCCAACCCATATCTCGAGGACTTTCATGAGTTGATTGTCAGCCTTTGCATCCCCTTCAGCAATTTACAGAGTGTGTTTCCAACTATTTTTTTAAATGCTCAAATATTCATCAACTTTTAAAAAGTCCCACTACTTTTCTCTTTCCAGCATCCTAAGATAATAATCTATATGCATTTGTTCACCTCCAATGCACTCCTTAAATCCCCAACACTAGGGCTTTACCTCTGTGCCCTCCATTACTTCACCACTCCAGCTCTTGCATGGTTCACTTTCTGTCTTGACTTCTCTAGAGTTCTTGAGACAGTGGGAAGTTCGTTGCCTTGTCTTGCTCTTGTCCTTTGACCGCTACGGTATTTTTGATTTAGGAATTCCCACCTGCTTTGTCCACCTCATCCTAGCTTGCTTTCTTGAAATCTATTTTTTGGCTCCCAGTAAATGTTAGTACTCCTAATACCTTCAAAAAGGGCACCCCTGGCCAAATATTCTCCCTTGCTCCCATGTTTTTAACTGCCTAAAACTTTTTCTTTTACTGAAGCAGGCTTTGCCTTTCTCCAAAAACTGCAGAACGTGAATAATCAATTGCACTGTTGAGTATTCCTGTTGGATGTACCGCAATTACTTAAAAGTTAACATGTCCAAAACCTACTTCTTCCCTCTTCAGTCCTCTCAAATCCTCACCTCCCTAAAGTATTTTTTATTATCTGCCAATCAACCAGACACAGATCTAAAAATGAGGTTAGATTGCTCCTTCTGTTTAGTCATGGAATATTCATGGTAGGCTCAATCTGTTTAATGGTTCCTAAACCCAATGTTTGTTGAACGAATGAAATTAGACACTGACCCTTTCTCCTTTGAATCACTGGCTCCTGCCTGACTGGCTTCCTGCCTTCATCCTCAACAGTTCTCCATCCCAAACCCGATGTATTTTCCACAGTCCCCAAAATAACTGTTCTCAATGCAAATATGTACCTTTTGGTCTACTGACACCTCTCCCCCTTCTAAATGCATTAGCATGGATTACAAATGAGGTCCTTCAAGCTCCTGTACAACCTCACCTATACTTCATCATTGCTAAACTAACCTCCAATCTCAATGTCCTTCCTGTAATACCAGGAATAAGCCAATGTACTCTCATCTCCATGCCCAAGCACATGCTGTTCCCCAGCCTTCAGAGGCCCACATCCTTCCCTGGGTGAATGGCACGTGTAGTGGCTAAGGGCATATACTTTGGAGCCAGACCCTGATCAACACAGCTCCAGCATGTACAACCTTAGGTAAGTTGCTTAAGGCAGTGTCCTCAGCTACA